CATTTGTACGTTTATGAAAGAGAATTTGAGTCTTGGTACGTGAGACTACGGTCCTGGTCTATCGTGCACTCACAAAGAAGAAAGAGGAGGCGTACCCATGTAAAACCGAAACTCTACTCGTAACCTCAAAGTAAAATAACAGTAAGGAAATTTTGGACACCATACCAAATTTTGGAAAAATTTTCGATCAACCTAAGTCATCGACATGGTGTCTGTCACTTGACGGGTCTGGTTTTATATGTACAGACAGGTCACAGGTACACAGAGTACAAACACACAAAATTAAGAGACACTCATGTTTATTCAGTCACCTAGTTAATACTATATTTTGTAAACCACTCACGTCGAAATTTATTTGTTAATATGTCCCACTTACATAGGAAGTACACTGCCACACCCCTGTCGCAATGTCTCTGACTAACCACACCTATGTACCCTATGTCCAATCTTGAAACACGAATGTTTATTTGACGAACTAGTCACCCTAATAAATAAGAGAATCAAACTCCAAATAGACTTTAGTAAGCTACTTATAATTAATATCATGCAAAGTATAAGTGAAAAAAAGTACGACCATACATCCTCATAGTCGGACACAAACTTGAGTCGATAATAGGGTGAGGTTTTGTCTTTTCGTTAGTTAGAAATATAAATCGGGTTTACTAGTGTTCTTCACGGTTACAAGGTCCCCGAAGGATGTTAGACATGTCGTATTCGGAGAATAGGTATCTGGGAACCGTCTCGTTAGTCTTCGAGGAATCGACTTCAGTACATTATGACCATAATTACACAAAAGTGGTACTATACTAGAGGGGAGTGTCTGAACCTAAATGCACCGACCTGGGTTTGACAAATACTTGTATACCGGTTTCACACGTTCGTAGGGGTGTATATTAGGTACCATTTACGAAAGTATCTAGTCAGCCCGAAAAAAGAACGACAACGGGGACTCGTGACCTTCAAATAACGACCGACACATCGATTAGACAGAGATACGTCGTCTGTTTTTTATGAAAACAAACCTGACTGTACCATTTCATTTATTTCTGATTCATAATATCGGGTGATCACCAACTCAAGCGACATTATTCGCTAATTTTGAGAAGTTATCTGAGGAGAGGGCCACATCTGTTTTTATTAAAGAGCACTGACTTGTCAACACAAACAACCTCACACACACACACACACACACACACACACACACAGTGTTTTGCCTGCCTGAACCTCTCTCCACTGTCAGGTTCCTAACAAGGCGCAGACTAACGAAGCTCACGGAAACATTAACCCATAGGGAGACTGCTCTGATAAGGGGATGCTGAAAGAAGTGTGTGTGTGTGTGTGTGTGTGTGTGTGTGTGTGTGTGTGTGTGTGTGTGTGTGTGTGTGTGTGTGTGTGTGTGTGTTTAAAAAGTAAATACAAAGATACTGTAATTATTACAATGCTCTTTACATTTAGAAACCTAAAAGCATGTTGCGGTTCATTAGTGATGTCACATTAGTCATAAGCAGAGGTGGAAGAAGTGGTCCCTTTACTTGAGTAAAAGTAGAAGTACTTTGGTTTAAAATACTCCATTACAAGTGAAAGTCCTGGACTCAAAATGTGACTTTAGTCCTAGGACAGGAGTATTGTCAGCTGAATGTACTAAAAGTAAAATTACCCATTATGCACAATGGTATTATATTATTAAAGAATATTCAAATATGCATTACTTTAATTCCTTACAAATACATGGGAGAGCCTTCAAATATTGCCGTTTGTTAATATAAAGACCATTTTAGATGTTTCTAAATATATATTGGTAGTACAGTACTGCATTATGTCATGTGTTTTTATATGTAAAGAGTAGTTAACTATGAGTTTTTTTTAGCAGCAACCAGCAGAGCGTTAGATAAATCACAGCGGTGTGGGGGGGGGGGGTTTACCCTCTTCTGCACGGGCCAGGGCTTGGTGATGGCTGAGATGTCACATGCCGTCATCAGCATTGACCTGAAGAGGAACACAGAATGACACGTTGGTGTTCATAAAGCCACTCCCTATTTCATCGTCAACAGTAGCTCTTCAGAGCATTAGGTCATAAAACCATAGTGAGTTATGGTGCATGGCCATATTTCAGTATGTTGAAATAACACAGAAACAAAAATACCATGTTTGTGAAGAGAGAACTCGGTTAAGATGCTTCAGTTGCACAAACCTTTAATATTCAAGTTACATTTGTATCAATAGTAGTCACTTTGGAATGTTTTAACTTTTTTCTTTAAATAGCCATTGATTTGTAAAAAATAAATACTTACAGTCACACACAGCACTCATTTTGGGAGAAATGCTCATATCAAGAGTGATGTGAGTCTGTATGTTAAGAAGCCTACAAAACTGGGGCCAGGATGTGATGGGTTCCAAACCCATGGATATCATATGACAACAGTTTGCCTCTGGGCACTGAACTGAATTTATTGGCCAGAGGATATTTTGACTATGGTATGAGTTGTACGAACGTATGAGTTAAGAGACAATCTCTCTGAGTGGATGGTTTCCGGAAACCAGAACCTAGTTTTCAAGCAAACTTTAAGATGAAGAAATAAAATCTAAATCCTCATCAGATGATAGCTGATGGGTTCCATGGTTTGTATTTCAGCATGTGCCTTTTGCCTCTTTTGCTTTCCACAAAGAACTGTTAACCTGCATTTAACCAAACAGGCTCAAACGTGATTGGTCAACACTACTCAAATAAAAAATCAAATCAAACTTTATTTATAAAGCACTTTTAATACTCAAAGGTAACTCAAAGTGCTTCACAAACACATACAAAAAAATAAATAATACTATCTCCCCCATCCCAGGTATATTCAGAGTAACGCATAGCTTTGTGATTGAAAATAACTCTCAATACCAACGCAGGAATAAAACAAGAATAAAACAAGAATGAAATAAGAATACAATTAGAGAAAATAGGAATATAAAATGCAATTCGGTTAAAAGC